AAAATAATGATGGCAACATATGTACAAAAGTGCTTGACACAATGGATGGGTGGATTGTGATAAGAACTGTAAGAGCCCCCAATAAAATGATAAAATAAACAAACAAACAAAAATTTCAGCTCCACAGTAAGGCCTTTTCTAACTGTACAACACTTACCTTTGGTTATTTTCATCAATCCTGTGTCTTCTAACACTTATATAATTATAATTTTATGTGCTGAGAAGTAGCATTTCAAAAATTCAATGTCACATACCTAAACTAAACCCCTTTACTTAAAAAAAAAAGTTTTATTGAGCTATAATTAACATGTCATACAATTTAAGTTATCCAAACCCATGTCTTCCTTTTTGTTTTCTATCCAGTAATAGTCCTGATTTTCCTAGTTTTTAAAGTGTGACCTTGCCTCTACCCACCCAGTTTACCAGCTGTTAACCCCAAGGTCAGCAATTGGAAACCAACTGCAGGCTCCACAGGAGAAAGATGAGACTTTCTACTCCTGTGGTAAGATGAGGCTTTCTACTCCTGTGGAAAGATGAGACTTTCTACTCCTGTGGAAAGACGAGACTTTCTACTCCTGTGGAAAAACGAGACTTTCTACTCCTGTGGAAAGATGAGACTTTCTACTCCTGTGGAAAGATGAGACTTTCTACTCCTGTGGAAAGATGAGACTTTCTACTCCTGTGGAAAGACGAGGCTTTCTGCTCCTGCAGAGTTGCAGTCTGGAAAGCCCACAGGGGTAGTTGTATCCTGTCCTACAGGGTCGAGTGAGATGGGGCAGAACAGATTCAATGGAAGTGGTGTACATTCCATTCAGATTGTGAGGCCTAGTGGCATAATGGGTTACTCACGGCTCCAGAACAGCCAGCCCCTCAGTGGGAGAAAGACGAGGGTGTTTGTTCCTGCAGAGACAACAGCCTTGGAATCCCCAAGGGGCAGTTCTACTGTGTTCTGCAAGGTCCCTGTGTGTTGGGATCAACTAGATAGCAGTGGGTTTGACTTGGGATTTTCGTTCTTGTTAGTGGTTATGACAATGTCTACTTACAGCGATGAAGTTTTTTCTTAGTGCCGAATTGTTCCCCCACAGCATTTTCAGGGAGCACTCACTACAAAAACTAACTTTTCTACGACCACGCTCCTTGCAGGTGTCCTGCTAGCACGGGAAAGCAAGGGTTTCAAATATCTTAAAATTCGGTAATCAGCAAATTTGGTATCCTCTGATTAGCATATCTTCTTTAACTACTTTGGACTTTTTTAGTACGCAAACCAAAGTCACTGCCTTCGAGCCGACGCGAACTCACAGCACTCCATAGGGCAGGTTAGAACTGCCCGGTGGGTTTTCAAGATGGCAACCCTTTACGGGACTCTTAGGGCAAAAAATGAAACTATGTATCAATACCAATCAAAGGTAATACAAAGAAGGGGAGGCATCCACATGAATCGATTATGCCGACAAAACGAGTCCCGGGCAGTGAGATACAAGAATAAACTGAGGCTAAGTGGGAAATAGATGCAAAACTGGAAAGCGGGAAGTAGTCGGAGGGGTGGGGAATGGGAAAAAGGTGGGGAAGGTGGAGCGGATGCACACGGAGAAGAGAGTCATCCCTGGCATGCAGACGGAGATGCTGCTTTGGTGAGGGCCAACCACGCAGCAACGCCACCTCACTGTCCTGGTGATGCCCCGGTGGAAGCAAACGGTCAGGGAGGGTGTCCTGGCGTCGTGTTCGTAACGTGCAAACTACACCGAGCCGGGCAGCCAGACGCTCGGACGGGGACCAGCGGGACACCCCAGCGTGCGAGCCGGACCCCTGCGCCAGGACGCGCGGCGCTAAAGGGCAAGCCGCACCCCTCTCGGCACTGGCGGAAGTTACGTAAGAAAAGGGGCGGGACCAGGCCTGCGTCGGAAGTAGCTCGCGGATAGTAAATAAGCCGCAAAAGGCAAGCTCGGAGTTGTCTCCATTTTGTCGGGGCCCGGCGGTCGGACGACGGCGCGGAGATGGGGGGCGTGCTGGGGCTGTGCTCCGTGGCGAGCTGGGTAAGGCTCTGTCCGCGGCCGCCGCGGACGCAGTGTGAAAGGAGGGCAGGAGAGGGGGTGCCCGCGAAGGACTGGGGGATACCCAGCGGAGACCCCACCCAGCAGGGAGTGCTTTCTGCCCCACCTTGTGTCACCGCGTCCCGTTCATTAAGTAGGACGCGGGGCGCGGGCCGTGTGCACACCGCTGGCCGATGGCGGTGAGGTTGGGGGGACGGGAAGACGACCCCGAGGGGAGACGTGAAGGAGAGAGCGGCCTGTCCCTGCCCCCACCCTCCTCCGAGGGGGCTGCTTCCCTTCCTGCCCGCCCCCGTTTGCCGGGTTTTCTTGCGTCCAAGGTCATCTCCACAGAGGTCTGCCCTTTCCCCCGAGGGGCGCAGCGCCCTCGCCCCTCAGCGACCTCGGGCTGCCGCACTGTCGGTCCTTTGTTCTGTCGGGAGGAGGGCGGAGGGCGGAGGGCGGAGGCGTCCACCGGACCGCTTGCAGGCCTGTTGATGCACTGATAGCGTTTTGAAGCAAAATCCTTGCGCTGAGACGAGGGGGTCTTTAATGGCGTGCGGGGACCCCTTTATTCTCTAGTAATCGTTTATGGATCTGGAAAAGCGGACCTATTCTGTGGTTTCGGCAAAACAAGCTGATGTAATGTCAAATTTCAGGCATCCTGATTAAATGGAGTTGTTGAAGGGAAACTGTCATTATAGTGACATGATTTGTTTATTCTGGTGGCAGAAATAGGCTTATTTAAGAAAGCTACCCGCTGCCCTCCATTATAAACAAACAAAAAATCCACTGCCATCGTGTTAATTCCAACTCCTAGCGATGCGATGGGACAAAGTGGAACTGCTCCTTAGGGTTTCGGAGCTAAATCTTTACTGACAGACCGTAGTTCCTTCTCATTAAAGGTGGGTGGCTTTGAACCACCCGTCCTGGGGGTAGCAGCACAACCCAACAGCGACACCAGTGGGGCTCTTTAGAGTCAATTAGATATTTGTAATTTGGGGCAAGTTGTTTGGATTCAAATCATATTTTTAAATTTAGGATTTCTACCACATCAAACAGTTGCATTTTTGGATTTCCCAAATACATTATATATCTTGACACCCCACCCTTAATTATTTTATATACCACTGTATTCGAAAATATTTTTATATGACTTGGTCTTGAGTGTTCAGTTTAATAAAAGAATACATCTAGGCTCTTAATGCGACTCTAGATAATTTTCTCTATATGTTTATTGTTTTCCGCTTTGTAGCTGGCCAGGGAAACTAGAAATATTTTATCACAAAATATATGCGTATCTGCTGGAGTGGAACAAGTACATTGAATAAATGACTATAAAAGAGTGTCCCACATGAAATAAAAATTACTGTAAAGTAATAAATGATTGTCATAAGATTGTTCTCTGGTGTTTCTGGAAGAGGTGGGATTTAATTATTAATGTCAAGATTCTCATCCCCTTATTAAGTGGGTATGCTACCTTTTTTTGTATGTAGTGGAGATTTATGAGAAGGAATATAGTTTTAGCCCCAGATCGGTGATGAGCAACCTTTTTCAGCCTCCAGGACAATTGATGGTAAAATGTGTAAAGTAGTTAAGGAGTTATTTATATATCTGTGATTTTTTAAAATCAGAAAGAAAATAGCTTTAATGAACTCTGGAGAAAATGTTGTTCCTACTAATATTTATACATTCTAGATCACCACCTATGTCAACTGGAATGTTGGTACAACTGTCACTGCCTTGTAATCACGCCGTTAGCATTTTAGAAAATGTCATCTCTTACTTTGTAATACTTGTCGATTTTGGGTGGTGGTGGTGGTGCAAACAGTAACTAAGCTCAGCAATTAATCTGGCAGCTGGAGTCTACCCAGAGGTGCCTGAGAGAAAGGCTTGATGATCAAGAGAGAAATATCAACTCAACAACCCAGTGGAGCATAGTTCTCTTCTCACACTTGTGTCGTCAGGAGAATGACGACCAGTTCTTAGTAACAAGATGGTAGTCTCGCAGCCGGGTGACCTCTGATAGAAAGGGTGGGAGGCCCTAGTTTGGTGACTTTTTGCTGGTCTATGAATTGATAAAGTAGTGCAATTTGGATCATCTTTTTTTCCCCTTTTTTTCCTTTTCCTTTCTTGGATCTCTTTTTTCCTTATTTTTTAAACTTTAGTGGCAGTAAAAAATAGGAAGAAGGAACATGTGCCTTTATCATATATAAGTATAAATCAATGTCTTCCATGTTCTTAACAATCAATAACCATATTTACTTAAAGGTTTTGGTCGAATTAAGATTTATTCACATTTTTAAAAGTAGCTTTGACATCATTAAGTTGGTCCGTTAACTCAGAATCAAAACATAAGCAACGGTAACAAGCCATGTTTTATACATAGACACAAGTTGTTGTGATTTGAGTAAAAGTATCTAATAATTAGTTTTCCAAGTAGTAACTTGTTTCCTACAATGATTGCAGCCCCACAATGTAATAGCTCTGCTTCCGCTCCTCTGTTAGCACGTTTCTGCTCATCTTTTTATTGTGCCCCTTCCTGCCCTTTGGATCCGCTCTGGTTGATTGTTCTAATCAATACAGATCACTTTGGGGTTATTGTACATTTTATAGTCCTGTCTATTGCTTCGCTAAAAGTTTTTATACTAATTTATAAAATCTACTTCTGAAATTTGAGAAAGTAATTTATATTGAATTAAAAATTTTTTTGCCATATATACTCGAGTATAGGCCAAATTTTTCAGCACATTTTTATGCAGTTTTTGTAGTAAACTTAGGTGCCTTGGCTGCTATTCGGGTTGGCTTCTACTCGAGTATATACGGTATGCTGTTCCAAAAACCAAGCAAAACTCAACTGCCATTGAGTTGATCCCAACTCGTCATGCAGTTCTGACAGGGAGAGTCATGATGAAAGTAAAACATCTAACAAACAAAGTAAACCTAATTGAAGATGTCCAATATATTTAAATGCATGACCATGATGCCAAATTCTCATTAAATATATCTTTTGTAGAATAGAATATGAAAGCTCCCCATCCTCCTCACTATAGAATGTCAGCGTTGACTGCCCGACCTGTCAGTTTCCCACAGCCTGACATTCCATTGCTTTCTGGTGGTACTAAAAGATAACCAGCAAATGATTTTTACTTCTTGAAGAAAATAATTTAAATTGATAGATTCGATAAAGTGGGATTTCTTCCTCTTTAAAAATGCTTCTAAAGGTACTAGAGAAGCTTGTATTTACAAAATAGTTGACAAAAGTACGTATTCCTCCGTATTGTACAAGAAAGGAAGTAAGATACCACTGAAGCAACTTGGTAGATAGACTATCAGACCTGGCTTCTTTCTCATCTGCTTGAGGCTGGACTCTCCTTGTTTTTAATTTCTCTGTTTTGTACAGATAAGTCTTTAGTTTCTTGACTAGCCACTTAAGCCTTTTTTCCCCCTTATTTTCCTCTGCTGTTGGCACTTTTTGACTAAAGGCTTTTCTTTTCCAGCTGCTTTTTGACTTTGTTTCCACATTGTTGGAGCAGGTTGAGCTGACAGCCGGGCATCATGGTGGCAGGGAAAGCTTGTGCTAAGAGCCTTCACAGAGAACACGGCCTTTTGTACTATGTCATACAAAATTGTTCATTTCTTTTCCTAAAGTATTTAATGTAGTTCAGTTGTTAAGAAAGAGCTAATGGTTACTTACTTAGTACCTATATTGTGCTAGCCTGTACTGTTATTAAAAATACAACTGTTTTTCTTTTAAAAAAATGATTCATAGATGCTATGAAGAGCCATGTATTGCAGACTGCTGAGTGTGGGGGTAGCCAGCCCCCCACAACTAATCACGGGTTCGGTAGGCACAATTGTATGGTTAAGATATATAAAGATTATTGTAACGTCATAGAGAAATGGGAGAGATGGGAGAGAGAGTAAAAGAAGTCATTTCATGGTAGCATGCCCACCTCAGCTCCTCTTGGTGGTGGTACACATGGAGGTGGATGAGCGGGGAAGAGAGAGAGCTCTTGTGAGGTTTTATTTCTAACCAAAGCTTATTTATATTGGGGCATGCAAGCCTACAGATAACAATCTAAGTCATAGGAAGAGGTTGTAACATAGGCAATCCAAGCAACAGGAGGGGGATGACCTAGGGGTTTACATGTAATAGTAAAGGGAGGGAATAGGGGTACATATGTGGCAAGATGAGTGGGCCCTAGACTCCATATAGTAGCCTAAGCTTAGTCATCCTTGAGTGGTCCCGGGCTTGCCTTCGGGCACTCCTTCAAGGGAACAATATCAGAAGGCAGTGGGCCCTACTTGGGTGAGTCAGACTATACAGTCTGGTTGCTCTAGATACCCTTAAGGAGAATAACCTCCGACCTACTTTCAGGGACCTCCTAGTGTACAGTCCTTTACCATGTGTAGCAAGCAGTGTCTTGGGTTTGGCTTATATTTGGGGGAGAGTACTTGGGAGAAAGCTTTCTGTTTCGCACAGCTGAGAAAGAAAAATGTCTCACAAAATTCCACTACCGGTAGCATTCTTTTTCTTAGAGCATATGGACAAATGGGTAGATGAATAAATGAACATGCTTTTGTAGGATGATACTCAACATGTATTTTGAGCAAAACATTACATTAATAGTGCTTAAATTTAGAAAAGAAAAATAAGGTAAGAAGACTAAAAGAATTGCTAAAAGTTAAATAAATGCATCTTTATCAGAGGAGCTGCCTAAGAAGAGGCCTCATATGTGTGGTTCTCCACCAGCCACGGTTTGCAACCCCAGGGCACACTTGGAAAGAGCTGCAAAAAGCCTCTTGGTTCTCACCACCAGGTAGAAAGTGCTTTTGGTATTTAATGGGTAGACTAGACGCCAGGAATACAGCTAAACATCCTACGGTGCCCTGGGCAGCCCCCAATTTTAAAAATTATTATTACCTCACCGAAAATATCTAGAATGTTCTATGTTTACGACAAAGGCTGAATTGAAATTATAGCACTTTTTAAAGACATTTTAATTTTACATTTACTACTGTGAAAGATTAAAATTGGCATTCATCCATCCCAGTTCCTGTGAATTGTATAATTTTTACATTTTTAAAATCAACAGTCGTGCGTACACACAGTCCTGTGGTTTATCGTGGAAAACAGACGGCTCCATTTTCACTCTTTGGAGTCGGAGCCACTTTGCATAGGGTTTCGGAGACTAAAGCCATGAGAGTTGATACCCTCATTTTTCTCCCACAGAGCAGCTGTGGAGCTTGAGCTCGCCTGACAGTGAATGCCACCATGACTTCTAAATGTTTCCTTCGTCAGTGTTTATTTTTATATTTCTGAATGAGATTCAGGGACATACAGAGTTAGAATTGACTCAGTGCAGGGAGGTATTTTTTATTGTGTTCTTTATTATTTTTGGCTTGTTTTAGCTATTATCTTCTTGGTATGGAAGGCGAGTCTTTAATTTGTAACTGTCCTTCATCCTCCATCCCATCCCAATCCCCACCTCTTTCCATAATATTTAATTTTAGTGAAATTAACAATGTTGTGGCTATTTAACTGTATTACTATATGTGAAGCTACAATAAGCAGTTATGTGGGTTAGCTCTTTTTATTATGGGTAATGTTACTCATGGTTCAGCCAAGTCATAAACATACCATGATTGTTTTCAGGTACATTTTTTTGTGCTTATTAAAGTATTTATTTGCTTTGTTTTCTATGTATTTAACTAATACTGCTTCAAACTATATCCCCAGCCGAATGCATCTCTCAGTAAGTTCAGTGCATCTGGTGATTGGTCTAACCTTAAGAGAGCTATTTCTTACAATCTAACCCAGTGACTCCATGGGAGATAGGCCTGGCACTGTGCTCCTGTAAGCGACAGCCGAGAGCTGTCCTGCTGTGGGGCAGTCCTGCACCATCACCTGGTTGCTGTGAGTTGAAATGGACTCCTTGGCAACTGATAGCAGCAGCACTGGTGGTTTTCACTATTTTCCCTACTCCCCACACTCGTGAGAGAGAATACAGAGAACAGGGCGCATCTTTCCCTCCTCAAGGATAGAGGGCAGTATTTGAGAATTCTGAGCATTTTGTGGACTCACCAATATGATTTCAGGGAAAGACGCGGTGGTTACTAGAGATTGGTTTAGTAGCTTGCCATGTTAAACATTTTTCTCAGTTTAATTTTGGTTGCTGCTAGTGATATCTTTTCCCCTTTTGCTTGCACACTTTTATTCATTTGGGTGTATTTCTAAGCAAGGGCTTCTTGGTATTTCACTTTAGTCACTTTCATTTGTACACAGGTAGACAGACTTTCATTTGCATTATTTCATTTTAAATGATACTTATTTTCAATAATACTGTTTTTCCCAGATACCATGTCTGTGTGGCAGTGCCCCGTGTTTGCTGTGCCGATGCTGCCCCAGTGGAAACAACTCCACAGTAACTAGATTGATCTATGCACTTTTCTTGCTTGTTGGAGTATGTGTAGCTTGTGTAATGCTGATACCAGGAATGGAAGAACAATTGAATAAGGTTAGTCTTTTTTCTTACTTAATGACTAATTGAAGCTTTATTATGTATATGTACTAAATTGAATTTTGAGTGTTGGAAATAGAATAAAGTATAAAAGCAAGAGCATAAGGAATAATCTTAGTAGCTCAGTCTTTTAAGAAAAATGGCAAGAGCTGTGTACAGCAGCCTATTAATTCATGTGGTTATTCAGAAAATGTACTTTCATAGTATATGAGAAAATAAATCATTCCAACCAAGCAAATATCAGAATCTCAGTGGGCACATGGAGAAAGGGACATACTAGAATAACTAAAATGTTAATATGTAGAGCTTTTTAATAATGAGCCTTAAAGGCACCCTGGTGGCACTCTGGAAGGAAAGATGAGGCAGGCGAGCTACTCCTTTTAAAATTTGTCATCTTGGAAACTCCGGGGTCTCTATGAGTTAGAAGCAACTAGATGGCAGTGGGTTTAGTGCGAGACTGGAGATGAAAGCTAGAACGGAAGCCAAGATCAAATTGTAAATGGTCTTAAATGTTTTGCCATGCGATTTCCCCTTTAAATCATAGGGAACTATCAGCTTTTTGAGCAGTGTCTGTGCTTGAGAAAGATTAGCTTC